ATTATTATTATTATTATTATTATTATTATTATTATTATTATTATGGGACGTTACGCCGTATAGCCTGACAAAAGTCTTCCGAAGTTTCGGAAGAACGTGCTGTCTCTATGTTCGGTGTAGAAGCCAAGCAAGCACCGACCCGCAAGATGGAGGTAGCGAGCTCCTGTGATCTGTACGGAACCTTCAGTCGCCTCAACTTTTCCAGATCTGTCGGTACAACAATAGGCTACGGGCTGGACGGCCGAGAAACTGGGGTTCGAGTCCAGGCAATAGGAACGATTTTTCTCTTCTCCACAGAGTCCATCTCTGGTGTCCACTCAACCTCTTTTATTCGACTGGGTACCAGGGGTAAAGAGGCCGTGGCATGAAGCTGATCGCTCACCTCTATAGTCAAGAAGTTAAGAATGGTGGAGTCATACTTCGACACCCATACGTGTTCATGGCGTGGAGCTTAATTAATGCAGCAAAGGGACTTCACCGCAATTTAGTCTCGCTAGTGATATCCTCCGGTTTTCAGCTTTAAACAAATCGATGGCTGAGAATACCGACATGTTACGAAAAGACGCACCGTTTCAATATAAGCACTGTTAATGTCACATTTTACCGTTACGTTATCTGAGTGCAAACCAGTCTCCAGTTTCGGACGCAACCGTCGACCCCGTTTAGTAACGCCGGCACTGCGCGCCATCACAGGAAGAGCGAAGAACTCTTAACATATAATGGCGTTTGAACGTAGTATGCGAGAGTCGCTTTATGGCGGTTAAGGCTGGTGGGGGGGCAAGAGGGGAAGAAAAATTTAGACCATCTGGCCCTGATTCCACCAATGGGAGTTCAAGTTACTATGCGTTGTTGCCTCATGACACCTGCCAGTGTTGAATCGTGAATTGTTTACACAGTGCTCATAAAAGCAAGCGAGTATGTCACAACATCGCAAAAGCAATAACGAATCTTATTGTTGCCTGATGGCTTTGTCTTCTCTTCGCCGCTATATTCCACGGGAATAACAGTCTCGCAGAAAATAAGCGCAATCTTTTATTCCGCTGCAAGTCAAACACATAACGGTCATGTGTAAATATGGATTCACATCAACCCTACGTGATCAAAAGCAGAAGTTATCAATATCCCAAAGACTGGCCCTTGCTACGTACATGCACAGATTCCAGACACTCCGTAGACTAAAGCAGGGGGCCAGCGGGTCGAATGCGGCCCTGTGCAGGTTTTTGGCGGCCCCCAATCAGCTAGACGTACCAAGTGACCTTGAGGCCCGGTTTTTGTTTTGCCCATGGCGGACCACGGTTCTTCCGTCTCGTAAGATTGCACACGGGGTCGCGTACCGGACTCATACCCAAACACTGACTGATTCAGATTTTTCCCTTAGTAGCTTACTGTCTCGTTAGTTCAGCAAATACGATGGGGTACCCAAAAGAAACCGAACTTATTTTTTTTAACTTATTTATTCAAATTTTAATCACAAACCTTCAATCCCCTTCAAAGTACTCTCCACTTACACTAATACACTTGTCTAGTCTTTTATTCCATTTTTCAAAACATTGTCTAAATTCATCTTTTCAGATGCTTGACAGCGCCTCCGTCGTTTTTTCCTTCACCTCAGCAACATCAGCAAAACGCTGAAAAGAAGTTTTGATCATTTCGGGATTCTTCTTTCAAAGCACAGCATGCTTCAACGCGACCTTGTTTTTGTTCAGCAGTCAGCAGTCGTGGCACGAATTTCGCAGCCACCCTTTTCATTCCCAAATCTTCTGTCAAAATTCGTTGAACTGAGCTCCAAGTCACTCCCGACAGCTCCACAATTTCTTCAATGGTCCGTCGTCGATCTTCCTTGATGATTTCACGAATTTTTTCAACATTTTCATGTGTTCGGGCCGTGGAAGGACGACCAGAACGAGGTTTGTCATCAATTGACATTTCACCATTTTTGAAACGGGAAAACCACTCAAACACTTGAGTTTTCCCCATAGCATCGTCCTTGTACGCCGTTTTTAACATTTCAAGAGTTTCTGTTCCACTTTTCCCGAGCAAAAAGCAGAATTTCACCGCCGCACGCTGTTCACGAAAATCAGCCATTGCAAAAACGACGATCACACAAAACAGTTGTCACTATAAACTCTGCCGAAACTAGTCCTTACCTTCTGAAGCAACGGTAGTCGGCTTATCGACTCAGGAATGTTAGCTCTATGCGCTCATAGCGGCAAAACGCGGTACTACAAAAGCTCTGCCCACAAAAAAATTAGTTCGGTTTCTTTTGGGTACCTCATCGTATGTTTTGGGGCATGGTAAGATGAAAAACCAACCCTCTAGCTATTCATCCATTATATGTATACAGTGGCCGTCTTGTAGTGCACTCAATTTCACCTGTCACTTCACAACATGTTTCGGCAACATAGTGCCATCATCAGGTGTCCCAACTACGTCAATCTATTGCATTGCCCGCCCTCATATGTTTTCACAACACCATTTAAAAAGTGTTTAAAAAGTCCGTACTTGTCAACTATGATAAATTTACACTCGCCAAAACTTGTCAAGATAATTCATCCTATTTGTCCTAACCAAAACTTGCTTGTGGTTCGTTCACTACGGAGTCGTTTTTCTTATTTTCTGTGTAAACCGCGTCTTGTGATGTGTGTTCCCTTCTTAGCTGCGAGTGTTACAACACACGCAACTTTTGGTTAGGACAAATAGGATGAATTATCTTGACAAGTTTTGGCGAGTGTAAATTTATCATAGTTGACAAGTACGGACTTTTTGAACACTTTTTAAATGGTGTTGTGAAAACATATGAGGGCGGGCAATGCAATAGATTGACGTAGTTGGGACACCTGATGATGGCACTATGTTGCCGAAACATGTTGTGAAGTGACAGGTGAAATTGAGTGCACTACAAGACGGCCACTGTATACATATAATGGATGAAAATCAGTGCAACAGGACGCTAAAATATAACTAGCTATTCTTTGGCCTGAGAGTTATCGCTGGAGTTAAGAAAGGATTATACAGAGGGCTTATATTCCTGAACCGTATGTCTT